TGGGAAACTTTATAAAGTACCGTGACTGTTACAAAGCACTGACACACGCGATTCCTCAAAATGTATCCTAACAAAAAACTTCACCATATCGATGCTGTATGATTTTCTTTGTTTTATTAATGGAATAATAATAATAATAATAATAACAGGGCAAAGTCTTACACACACAATACAAACAGTGTAAATAGAAATGCTGTAACCTTTTCATTCAAAAAAAAAAAGAAGAAAAAAAAAACACTGAACAGTTCTGTCATCTGTCCTTTTGTGTAATTTGTCCGTTGATTGAACAATGTGTGCTTAGTCTATCAACATTTAGGGAAAAATGGATGATAGAGTAAATAATCCACTTCATTCGTATTCATTACACCTGCTACTGAGTCTGTAACAGGACTGCTGATGATAGTGACAGACGCTTCATACCATTCTGTGTATCTAGTAATTGATGCGGATGCCAAGAATGAAACCTTAAATTGATTTTTTTTATCTTTGCAGGACACTGGCCTTAGTCTTGCTAGCACATTTACACCAGCCACCCCTGCGCTCAAGCGTTTCTAACAAATCCCTACTGCGGGTCAAAATAGCACCAGCTGTTATATAATGTCTCTCTATTTGATCAGCTAAAGAAAACATCGCTTTACAGGGTTCACTGAAGTCTTCAGTGTGGTTCAGTCTGCCTGAAAGCTGGCACAACTTTGCCACACAAGCAGGTAGTCTCACGCTAGAAACATTCTGCCTGCTCCAAGCAAAATAATCGAAAGCAATGGATTAGCCAGTGACTGAATAGGTTTAGCTGCATTTGTGTTTACTGATGGATTACAGCACAATGGAATAAATGCGTTGTTTTGAAATTAAAAAATTCTCATTATGAAATGAAAAAGGGCATTAAGAAATAAAAAGTAGTCTTTTGAAATAAACCATTTTGAAATAAAAACTAGTCATTAATATACAGTGTATAAACAAACTGAAATGTGACATTGTGAAAATGAGTATGATGAAATAATATTTATAATAATGAGTTCAGTGTTATTTATTTATTGACTCATTTAAACAGTATATTTATTGCTGCATTTACTATTATTTTATTATATACATCATAGACATATGTATTTATGTAAATTGGACTGAAACATCATTCCATATGTGGCAGTGGGGGAGTGTTGGAGTGCTGGCTGACACAACTGTATTTGATAGGTATCATGTTCCATGTATAATGCGTCAATCATCTGAGTCAGTATTTAGCAGTAACAACTGAATGTTCTTATTTGTAATGGAAAAATAATGCAGTCTGTTGTATTTAGTTATTATTTGGATGCAGAAGCCTATTAATAACAACATGTAGTGACATAAATAGTGTACATCTACAAAACCCGGTTGGAATAAATGGGGCAGAACTTTTAAGGCTGGTCAGGTTAATACCATTTTGGCATTCATTTGCTCTAAGAGGGGGTCTCGACAGGTGGTAGTTTAAATGAAATTTTAAGATCAAATTGGGTTAGAAAGTCCCACAGCACTGACAGATTTTAAATGTCACACCTTCTGTTGCACCGCTCTACCCGTGTCAGCACAGCGACATTCATTTCTAACCATGAAAATGGCAACTGGGTGAGAACGGGGACAAATGATAATACAACCTACTAGTGTTATAGCAGCAAATTATACTGACACCTTCATTAAAATAGATCCCAAGGTGTATATGGTCATATCGTTTTTCTTTCACAAGAAACTCTCCCAGACTTTCACAAAGTCTCAGACTCTAGTTCCTCAAATTTCTGCCTTGTTCCCTATTGCCACTAACTCATTCAGAGGAAATGGTCTGTGAGTAGCCGTAGCTGGACACAGATGAGACTGTGAGGCTGATTTTATATTGCAGTGCATACAAATGAAGAAAGGAAAGCCTAAGGAAAGCCTCGAGGCTCATCTTCACCATTCGCCCTAACCTTAACCATTCGTAACATTTCTTATGAGATTGCTTGTATCTGGATTGTGATCCTGAGCAACTTGTAAAGCAGCAGGTGTTAAGAAAGAATGATAAGATCACTTAGTGGTTTCCACTGATTTTTCCGCCTGGAGAGAGTGCATTACTAGTATTATTGGGTGAAGGCCACAAGGTGACATGCTGGTAATAGGAACTGTGATTTTCTCCTGTCACATTACAGTGCTCTCTGCAGCCTTTTCAGTAATTGGCCATAAAGTCCCTAATATGTGTTTGAGTGGGTTTTAAGTGATTTGCAGAGACTTTAGAGGCTTATAATTGAGTAGTGGTGTTGACCCATATCATGGCCAGTAAGATTCTTCATCAGACAAAACGAGAAGAAGACATTTGGCTGCCTACAGATGTGAGAGAAGAGAGGCTGCATAATGTCTACTCGTCTCCGTGTCTCAGAAATACATTTCCTTCTTGTCCGTTTATTGTTACATGTACTGTTGGTGAACTTCTAACTTCCTGTTATCACTTGTGATTTTGCAGCATCGTTTCCTCAGTAGCAATATTTCTCTTTCTTTTGAATTAAATAAGACCAAAAAACAAACAAACAAACAAATAAAATAAAAACACAGCATGTCATGACCTTGTGAAGACTCTCCTGTGGCAGAAAACCTACCAACTGTAAAAACTAGAGACTCCTTCCATAAATGTTAAATAAATGTATCCTTACAGAAAACCTCATGCCAATGATTACACATTTTTCTTTCCTAAATAAAAACAATTTATATATATATATATATATATATATATATATATATATATATATATATATATATATATATATATATATATATATGTATATTAGATTATGTGGCTGTCATACATGTCTTGGTGAATTAGTTGTTACTACAGGGTGTCCCAAAAGTCTCCATACAAAGGGAAAATTAACACTTTTTAGCAAAATGTAACTTTATTTACAAAACATCCTCTACATGATTGTCAAGCACAGAGTCATCTCTCCCACTCATGATGAACTCGTGTTAACACATCTCGTGTTATGCGTGTAATTGCATGTCCATCACGACCTTGGGACAGAGGTATATACTGGGATAATTTCAATATATTCTTCTTTTGTCAAAGGGATTCTTAAGGGCTATTTGAAAAAAAATATATATAAACTAAGAATGGAAAATTTTGGAAGACATTTTGCTAAAAATGTGTTAATTTCCCCTATATATGGAGCCTTTGTATAGAAATGATAATGTTTTAGAATGAGTGCATTAATATAAACCTGTGAATTGCGTTGGAGCCGGCACTATTGTCAGAACTGCTGTTATAGAAAACTAATGAACACCTTCTGACCAATCAGATTCAAGACTTCAAAAGTACTGTAATAAAAAACTAAATTAAATAATAGTAGCATTAGGGTTAGTGTCATGTCTTAACTTAATTTATCCATTTGCACATTAACAATAAACTTCTATACCTTTACCCATCTATACCTTTCACTCACTTCGATTGCTTTTCTTTAGAAGGTATATATTATAGTGGATTGTAGTGCATTGTTTAATTTTAATTTTGGCCAAAAACATTTCAACACCACATTTGCATGCACTTAACTAATCTGTTAATCGGAAATCTGTGAATCTACATTAATCAGTCAATAACTTGTTTTAGTAGCATCACTGAATGCTGCGAAGCTATTGGTTTAATGTTACAGTAGCTGCATGGTTGCATTGCTTCTCTTCCAAGCATGTAGCTTGTTAGTAAGTAATTTGTTGACCAAGTTGCAGAATAGAGCTTAGAAATGCTTCACAATTGAATCACAATACATATGTATGCAGCCTATATTTTTTTAATCCATCATTCTTATTATTTATTCCTTTAACAGTTAATTTGAGGGTACTGGCTACTAATGGAGAAACTCTTAAGCTAAAAAAAAACTATTGAAAAATTGTATTGGCAATTACAAGCATAATAAAGTTTTTCTTGCCTTTATTTTGATTAGATGTTTATGCAGAGAGAGAGAGAGAGAGATTAAGAAAAAATGTGATAAACAATATGCTTAGTATATGATTAATAATATGTCTGATTAACAGTGTACATGCACTGCATACCCTCATCACTGCAGTAAAATCAAGGTGTCTTTGAGAGTTTAACCCTGTTTATAATATCATAATAATATTGGATTTTTAGATATACCTTAATTACATCCATTAGCCAAATTTGGCATTTTTGTGTGACTGGAATTCAAACAAGTGGCAGTGATTTTGTGGTTTCCATATGAATGAGGTATGAAAAACTAAGATCACTGAAATGCCTCTCAGCCTTTCCCTAACCATTTTCTTTATTTTATCTGAAGTCTTGGTTCACGCAGATTTTGCATTCATGCTCAAACCTTAACATGACCATGCTTTTGCCTTGAGAGATCTGAGAGCTAACAAAATAATTCAACCCAGAACCATGACATGTTTAATTAGGCATTGCAAAATCAACAGGGTGACATACCTTGCAAAAAATGAACACTGATGTATGCAATAGTTAGTTACAGCCAGACAGTCTGAAGTAACCAGAAGGCACGAACAGCAGGGGAAAAAATACACTAAAACAGATGTTAGTGAAACGAGCAGCAATCTTTTAAGTCTATTGTTCACATGAGGATCAAAGCCAGGAAGGATATGTACACAGTGCGCAGGTGAATCTACAGGAGACTGAATCAATAAGCATTGTTTCCAATTTAGTGTCTTCTGTTGTTAATGTATTGTGTATCATAATTTGTAATATGTGTATGCATTCTTTCTAGCCAAAATAATGCTGGGCTCTCTGGCATAGTGAGAAAAAGACTATACAGTACACAATGCTCAGTTTGGCACAAAATAGTCTGTTGTATTGTACAAATTTTGTTTAGATTGTTGTTATTGTTCTTCTTCTTTCGGCTGCTCCTGTTAGAGGTCGCCACAGCAGATCATTGGTCCGCATATTTGATTTGGCACCGTTTTTTATGCTGGATGCCCTTCCTGACGCAACCCTCCCCAATTTTATCTGGGGTTTGAGACTGTCGTGTGCAACCCCAGTGTTCCCTGCCCGGGAATCGAACCCGGGCCACGGCGTTAAGAGCGCCGTGGCCTGACCACTAGTCCTTCAGGCACCCTATAGATTTTGTTTAGATTATAATTACAAAATATATTTTTGCAGATTATTGATATTTTTTATAAACACCATGTAATTACTTGTGATAGTCACCTTGATCATAGTGATTTTGGCCGTGGCATGGTTGTTGGTGCCAGATGGGCTGGTTTGAGCTCCTAGGATTTTCATGTAAAAAACAATCTCTAGAGTTTACACTGAATGGTGCAAAAAAAAAAAAAAAAAAAAAATACACCCAGTGAGCAGTGAGCAGAAGTTCTGCAGGTAGAAACTCCTTGTTGATGAGAGATATCACAGGAGAATGATCAGACTGGTTTGATCTGACACCACTCTTTACAATCGTGGTGAGCAGAAAAGCATCTCAGAATGCACAACACACTGAACCTTGAGGCAGATGAGCTACAACAGCTGAAGGCCACATTGGGTTCCACTCCTGTCAGCCAAGAACAAGAATCTGAGGCTACAGTGGGCACAGGATCACTGTCCAGAAGACAGAAAATAGCACTTTTTATTTCAAGATAGGTGCTTCTCCAACTTATTACACTATTTAATAAAGCATTTCTACTATACATTTGCTAATTTTGTAGTTTTACTGATGGATGTTCTCTCAAAAAAGAGCTAAGGAGACAATTTGGGCAACTCCTTGCAGAAATAATTCCTCTAGCTGCTTGCTTGCCAAAAATGAAGATGACCTAACATTTATAATATTATTAGCTAATATTACTTTTTGGCATACAGTTGCCATCCATAATTCATTTCTCCACCATTTCCCACTACCCTTCTTATTCTTCTTTTTCTATTTTCCCTCCTCTGCCGCCCTGATAGATAAAATCCTCTTCATTTTAAACAGTACTATGTGCATGTTCATTTAAATGAACTCATGCAAGGCACAGACATACTAATGAGAAGTGAAGGCTTTAAAAGTGTTTTACAGGTTTTATTTTATATTTTTATTGATCTAAATAATCAACTTTTGGGTCATCCTTAATGATTGGGGCCCCAGGCAATGTCCTGGCTTACATGTCATGTAGCTACAAGTGGTTAAGTTCAATATGAGGGATTGGGCTTAATTTGCATGAAATTGAAGAAATTCACTCTTGCTTGATAGAATTCATGGAAATTTTTCATATCAGGCTGGAATTATAGCACCTAATGTTTGAATAGTTTCTACCGACTCACACGGCCTTACTGTGACTGACTCCAGCTCTGGACATGTCTACTGATATTGAATGCATTGCAGAAGTCACATTTATCAATTTATGTAAAAAGCACACGTGACTTTCTATTATATTGTCTGTTGCTAAACATAGTGGACTGTACAATATATTACAAAATAATTTCAAGAAAATGAAATTATGGCTTCAGTTAAAAAGAGAAGGCACAACTTTCTACCTTTATATATATATATATATATATATATGTTTATGTTTCATATGTAACATGCATGAATGATAGGTTTCTATTAATGCACTCATTCTAACACATTATCATTAACTCACAGAGATTTGGAATCAAAGACTAATAATACACACAGCCAATCGATTTTACTGCACCAAACAAGCTCAAAGGACATTTTTTCCTCCCTGACTTTTGAATTAAAATCTTGGGCATTGGTCTTCCCTCTTGTTTAATTTTCAGTCTGTCCTCATAAGTATCAGCATCAAAAGACTTTTCTGAAATCAAGTCAACATTAGCAGTGTCTGCCATTTTGTACCCAAAATCAGCTAAGCTGCTTGCTGAAGAAAGAAGTGACAGCTAGCTAGCTAGACTTATATAAACAACAAATTTCAGAAATGAACGCAAATAATCCAACAGAACTTTAAACTTTCATTTTACATTTTAAACTTACAATTATACCTAAGTGATTCCGATTGGCACAATATGTTTAATAAGTTTGAAATGTCAGTCACGTTCCTTCCTGATTTACTGACTGGCAGCTGGTTATGAGGTTCCGCCCCTTTGAGAGATCTACCAATCATCATAAGGAGAAGCCACGCATCCAGGCAGGACAAATGAAGAATGTTGAGATTTTTTTATTTTTCTGTGCAGGACTCACCCACCCACTCACTCACTCACTCCCAGTGAAGCTGTGTGTCCAGGTGGGACTCAAAATGACGTGTTACTAGCCTGTTGTCCAATGAGCGTTAATCTTTTGTCCCATTAAATCAGTGAGTACCCAAACACCTAACAGACACTAATTGATGCACAGGCTTCACTGAGTGTGTATTAGCTCTGTGTCAGGGGCTTCAAAGAAGACTTTCACACAGGCTGTTCTGTTCACCGGAAACAGTTTGAGTTTAATGAACGAACAGTGCAATATTGCAATGAAATATTTGATCATTTGATTCACTAAAATATTGAATTTCACCAAGATTGATGAATAATACAGACACTTTGGTAAACATTTCATTGGCACATTTTGATGAAATTAGAGGCTTCCTTTGTAGTCTTAAAGCAATCACCTGTGCTCCACTCCTATTCACTCCAGTTCACTAGACTAAATTCTGACAGTGTGTCACGATTACAATAGAATATGTCAATTTTAATATGAACAGTTAAAGTTAGAATAAGGAGTGGAGTTAGTGTAGCTTATTACCTAAAATCTAATACAATCACTGTTACTAATTATACTTCCTGCAACTCTCAAGTGTGCTAAAGGCTGATAAAGTAATCTTCCCTTTTTCTATTTGCACTACATTAAAATTATATTAAACACAAACCCAAGTAGACCTTGAATAATTGACTAACCAGTGCATCACTTTTGTTCAGTGGTACGAAGTCTTTCCATCCACATAGCACTGTAAGTGATTGGACAATGACTACTTAACCTCTTTCAAGTCAGAAGCACTTTCCCACAGCTGGTGAAAGATTAGAAATTAAGAAATTTCTCAATAATAATTTGATTACCGCTCTGTTTATTAGTGATGTAAACTGCAGTTACTCTACTCCAGGAAGTAGCAACACTGCACTGTATGTATGTGTGTGTGTGTCTAGTAAACTGCATGCACATGTGCACTCTCATTCAGGGATTATGTTATGAGTTGGCAGACAAATCAGCTCCTACTTCTGTTTATTCAATAATACTCTCACTCGGCGAGGGCTATTTCTACATTGCTTACAGTTCAGTGTTTTAAACGCCCATATGTCTGCACCATCTGCCTGCAAAAATCCTGACTTTCCATGTACATCAGCAAAAAAAAACAAAAAAAAACTCCAGACTCAACAATCTGGTCACATATAACACTCACCCTCAAAATATATTTAAATTATTTGATGAAGAAAAAAACATGCACAAGCTGTCTTTGTTATAGTTCTTTGTTTTTGGGTTAAAATGGTCCATTTTATTTTTTATTTTTTTTTTATTAAAGATTATACATTATTTTCCACCACAAAACTTTGTTATTGGCTGGTCTTGTCTACAAAAAGTTGTATTTATGGTACAGTGATATATTTACGCTCACTGAAGATGCCCCAAGCATAAAAAAAATGGGTTTGTGTTACTATTTCCATTAATATTGTTTTCATTTCTAATAACTAGAGTAAAGATTCAAATAGTTTTGCTAATAATTCTTAATAATTAATAAGCATTGCTATAAAATTAAGAGATTTCCAATGAGAAATCTGTTCCTAACCATAAATATGTTTTAAAATAGCAAAAATGTTGCCAGTCTCTACACTGTACGTCTGGCTTGGTATTTGAAAACTGTATTTTCCTGTAAATATTTTGTTTTGTTGAGACTGCATGGGCGATCGTCCATGTGCCAGCATTCCAACCACTCGCACCATGCCACAGCGTCTGTGCTCCAGGTGAAAGGCTTTACAAATGTCTATATTGATTCAGCCTGTAGCCCCCACGATCAATAGGTCATTAGGTGTTAACACATAGTGCCACTGCAGCTTTCAATTCATTGCAGGGCACATTTTAGCATGCACACACTGATCCTGATCTTTGACATGGACTTTTCTGCTCTCGTTTTTTTGTTCCTGAGCAGGTAAGGGCTCAACCTTGCTGCTATAGGCAATTTCTCGAATGACCTGGAATTTCAAGCTGCTTAGTAGGGTCAAATTTGTACTAAGAGTGAGCCAGGGATGGGTCATGTGTGTGTGTGTGTGTGTGAGTGTGACTTTTCCGGTGGGGATGACTGCCTTAATCTGCCACCTAATACCCCCAAACCGGCTACACATCTAAGCTGCTTAACCACACACCCTGTATAAAAGTGAAGTGGGAAAAACATCCAAAACTCGAGTCGAGTATCAAGAACGTTTTTTAATTGCATGATTCATTCATTCATTCACTATATCAGGGTTGTAGTGGATCCCACGAACACCGGGTGTGAGGCGGCAATATACTTTGAATGGAATGCCAGACCATCACAATGATTCATTTGTTTATTTATATTGTCGGTTATAATGTATTACCCATGCATATCATTCTTCATTAATAACACTTGTGTCATTGACACAAATCTCTCCCAACCAGAGCATTCTGCCTTTCCTAATTATCGACACCATTGTCCAATCAGAGACCTCAGCTGGAAAATCAAATTGTCGCAAAGTCTTGCCACTTACAAATGGTCGTACTCAGAGAGGAGCTACACACACATCGTAATGGGTTGCTCACATCTGTGTTCAGATCTCAGACATAACTACAGACTTGCATGCTATTCAGAAAGTTACACATGTGGGTTGGTGTTTGCCTAAAACATAGGAGTGACTCAGTTATGTGCAATTCTGACCATTAAGCCCATTTTTCTTGCATGATATTGAAAAACTTTAAAATAAAATTTATGTCAATATGTCATGCTAAAATGTATGTTTTGTGCTGTAAATACACTAAAAATGGAATGGCACTCTAAACACTAAACAATACTAAACACTAATTTTAAATAATTGATACTATTGTCCCTTAAAGTTCAAAACTTTCGAAATATTTTTCACACAGAGGACATTGGATGAGAGGACTGGATTTTTTATGGATAAAATTATGACCAACACTTACTT